CACACACACAAAAGAGGAATGTCCGGGCATCAATACCCCCCCCCACAAAAACAGAGCGACCTGGCATAGTGTCCAGTGGCCACCACCTCACGTCACCCAGTCAAGGTTTGTCCCGTGACACAGGTCACACAGTGCTGCTGCTTTTGTCCTCCTCTCCCCTGCTGCCCGCTCTCTCGTCTCTTCTATTATCATTTTAGTGGACCTGGCCCCACCCGGCCCCAGGGTTCTTCTCTTCTCCCTTTACTTAATGTCTACCCTCACTTTCTTCTCTAAGTTCTCTCTATGATCATTTCCATAAATATTTTATGGAGACAAGTCTCCAGAATCTCTCTCTCTCTCTCTCTCCCCATTGTCCTGTCCGCCTCCGTCCTCCCGCCCTCCTTCAGCTCCTAAGCAGCTGCTGATTGCTCCGTTTTGTCAACCAGCGTCCAAGCATACCGCTACCGGTAGATAAGGAGGCCTTTATTTTTTCTTATCTTAAGGGAACGATGGTCAGCTCTTCTTTAAGCACAGGCGTCAGCAAATTCCACTGTGTCAGGCACGCCACAATTTTCAAAAAAAAAAAAAAAAAAAAAAAAAAAAAAAAAAACGAAGTTCACTCGGGTTGGAGAGCCGTGTGATGGGCGACCATCACGCAGGTTCAGAGAGCACTTGTTACGGCTGAATAACTCTTGTGTTGTTGCCTTGGTGTTTTGCTGGCTGGCTGTTTGTGCGACTTACACACCTACCTACCAATGGTGGCATGATCCTCCCGCGAATAGAATCCATGGTCGTTATCTATACAGCGAAAGTTGGCCCAAATACATCCAATGCATGAGGACCGTGCGTTCTTTTCTTCTTTTTCTTTTTACTGTGCTTGGAAAGGGGTCTACCAGCCCTTATGAGAATACAGGACACGGATTTAATTTATCGAGGTTACAATGAGGTACCGGGGCCATTACCTGGCTTTGGCTGAGACTCCTGACAGCAATCAGAGAATTCGGGAAAGTTTGTATTCAGGAAGGTTAACTTTGTGAACATGTACTAATCGTACTAGAGTATAGTCTACTGACCGTTTCTCACAAGACCAGTGGGTCTACGCCTCCTGGTTTTTTTTTTTTTTTGTTTTGTTTTGTTTTGTGAAGTCGCGTTCGGGAGAGATTTGTGTACATGTAACATGTGTACGGTCTCTTCTTCTTCTTCTTCTTCTTCTTCTTCTTCTTCCTCAGCTTCCCTTCCTTTTTGCTGTGTCTTGGTCGTTTTCTCATATTCTCCATGATATTCTCACGAACTCTGTAAGTCAAGTGCTGTTGCTTCCTGGTCTCGTAGGAGTGCTGTTAGATGATGATTGCAATTTGCGAAGTAATACGCACACACACACACACACACGCACGCACGCACACACACACGCACGCACACACACACACACACACACACACACACACACACACACACACACACACACACACTGTGACACACACGCACACAAACTCAGACACTGCAATATTCACTGCCTGCCTTGATTTTGGTGGGGGGGTCTGCGCTACATGGCTGCCCGGACCCTTCAGATAGCCTGCATGGGCCGTCTGAGCCGTGTTAGGGGGATTCCCCCACACCTCTTTAAAAAAAAAAAAAAAAAAAAAAAAAAAACCTCAGACACTGTGACACAAAATGGGAATGCCAAACCTCTTTCCCAGAGGGTTGCAAACGACAAGATTCCGATGATCACTAACTAGTCTCATGCAAACCCAACCGAAACCTCTGCCAATGCAGCCATATTCCAGGGAAAAGAGGACGTGCATTCTATTCGAAGGAATGGAGATGGTAAATATCTCGCTGAGG